TGTGTGTGTGTGTGTGTGTGTGTGTGTGTGTGTGTGTGTGTGTGTAGATTACTTTAGAGAGGATGCAATGTTCTACTGTATACTGTTTTTTGTTTTTACATATTAGGCAAAATACATCTTAAAATACTGAACCAAAAACAAACATTCATACATAAAATATCCTCTCATGACATCATTGCTCTTGTTAAAAGAGAAACTCTTAACTGTGGATAAGAAGAAACTGAGATGTTTGCCTTTCTTGTTACAAATACAGCTTTTAAAGAGACACAGTTACCAACAGATGTAGGATTCCTGTAAATGTAGCTGTGTCTAGTAAAGGTCAGTTCAGTTAATTGTTGAGTCTATCTGGCCTTTCATAGGTTCCTGGGTTCCCTCAGCACAACATACATGGGCCTGTAAAAAAGAAACAACTTAAACAGATGAAATGACAGCAGTAATGTTTGATTATTATCATACTGTACTTGGTTCCTACTATTTGGGATGAGATATGAGATATGAGATATGAGAGATGAGAGATGAGATATGAGATATGAGACAAGATAAGACAAGACAAGACAAGACAAGACAAGAGAAGAGAAGAGAAGAGAAGAGAAGAGAAGAGAAGAGAAGAGAAGAGAAGAGAAGAGAAGAGAAGAGAAGAGAAGAGAAGAGATAGAGAAAAGAAGAGAAGAGAAGAGATAGAACTTTATTGATCCCACAGTGGGGAAATTTGAACATTACAGCAACTCAAAACAGTGAAGTTGCAGTAACAGGCTGCCTGCCGTGGCGCCAACTTAGAAACAAAGAAAAACTGAAAAACACACAAGGGAAGGGAAGATGAGGAAAAACGCAAAAACATCATATTATATCAACACTGTGACACAGGTGTTTATGAAAAAACCTCTGCATAGAGCAAGTTTATTAGCCAGAGGAGTAAATGAGTGTAAGGGGGCCTGAAGAATCCAGTCCCCAAAACCAGTGCAGCCRTAGTCCAGAAATATTGATGGAAACTGTTCATTCTGTGCAGCTTTCAGCCTGCTCTGGAAATCAGATTAGACGGATGAGAGTAGGGGGGAAGGTATGGGGACAGAACCTTGTCGACAGATCCAGCCAGGAAAAATTTAGTCAACAGATCCAAGGCCGTTGTYGGGGAGATCCAGATTCTGTAATCAGTTGTTTTGGGAACAAAGGAGACAAGCAGACGACAACAATTTTCCATCTGCCATAGAGTTTCTGCTGGTACTCTCAAGGTGGCGATCCTAATCAGGCAAACGGTGTGGACAAATTCCGCCAAACCGAATCTATCAGCTCCTCCAAGATCAATTTAATCTGGCCAGCAAAGTCCAGGGACCACAGCCAGCCCGTGACCCTCAATAGAACCGTTAGCAGACAGAGTCCAGCTTGCTCAAGGCCAATGTCTGAGTTCTGATAGAATACGGCCATCCATCGAATTTGGTCAGTCAGTCAGGAGATGAAAAGCCACTGATGCTGATTTGCAGAACACCAGGGGCCTCATGTACAAAGACTTGCGTGGATTTCTTACTGAAATGTGGCGTACGGTCAAATCCAGCAGGCGTGGGGCTGCGCACATTTCCACGTTCAGTTGAGTTTTGAAACGTTCAGAGTTTTGCGTGGAAAATGGCGTACGCAAGGTTTTTGTGCGTACGCACCGTTGATATATGAGGCCCCAGGAGACCACCAAGCCAATCTGTAGAATCCAGTGATCGGAGTCCAGATATAAATCCAGAACAGAGAAGAACAGAGGTCTCACATTTGACATGTCCTCCCATGGAAGAAGAAAAAACTTTGTTCCAATTTTTTTTTGAGAGTCCAGCTAACCAAATCCATGAAAATAAAAATATCCATAATTTCTTATTTTGGATGAAAAATGTAGAGAAGGCTCCAAGCAGCAAAGCAGGGAAAGAGAAGGAAGGGCAGGAGAGAAGGAAGAAGCATCTTACTCCTCCGAGACCGAAAATAAATAAATAAATAAAAAATATAAATTTTGTTTGCGTTCCAGCTCTACACATAAACAACACAAATAAAACCTGACACAAACACATTGTAAGACATGAAAGTTTAAGATGTCTGGGTGTCAGGGTGCCAACACCAAATACCAGAAGCACTGTACCATAAAAAAATCCATTATAAAGATCCAGAACCTTTGGCCTTTAGCCCACATTATTAAGTGTGTGAGCTCTCATCAGCAGCCACTGTTCCTCCTGACTGACTACACTCCCTGAAGACAATGGCATGTGTGTTTGTGCACCACTGAGGAATAGTGGGGGACACAGACGGAGCTGAAGCGGCTGATCATGGTTATGACATTTCTAACACTCGAGTAAAAGTGGGTCGGCTTACTGCACTGCTTGAGCAGGTAAATCAGGCTTTGCACACAGGACAGTGCCCAGTGAATTGATCTAGTAAAATCATATAAATAGGTTATAGTTTAGGAGGAAGTGCTTTTGTATTCCTTTTTTAATAGAGACAGAGAGAAAAACAGAGAAGTAATTAGAAAGATAGAAAGATTGAAATAGCGATTAGAAGTTTATTTAATATACACCAACAA